GGTTTAGTCAAAAGAAATAATTTTCCCAAATCATGTTACACAAAGCAACAGGAAGTCCACAAAAACAAAAAAATTGATGGGGGGGGGGGGGTGCGCGGACCGCACACACTGCTCGGTCTAACTAAATTTCATAAAAGGATAACCGATCACACATACATTTTCCACACAAGTAACCAATCCAAATGCATGCTTTATTAAAAGTTGATGCATCAGAAATGAGGTATAATTAGGTCAGAAAATTTTTTGAAAAATTCCGTTTTTGACCATGATTCATCACTGGTTGAAGTTTTCGGTAACTTCCTTAAGTGACAGAAATATATATTTATCTTAATTCTGTGAAATAAAGCTTTCCATTGATACCGGTACCAAATATGATGTGGTCTAGCGATTCCAAGTACATGAATCGAATCAGTAAAAGTTAAAAACATTATTAAAATGAATTTTTAATCATTTATAGCAGGCCTGCACAACTCAAAATGTAAGGCGGGCCATAATACTTGATGAAAAACGTGTGCAGGCCAAAAGAAAATAGGACAGGACTTGTGCGGGCCAAAATAAAATAATACAGGGGCGAAAGCTGTTAAGAAAATAATAAAAATAAAGAATATTTCTTTACTTCGCGGGCCGCCAAGTGGGTGCTTCCGCATGTGGCCCGCGGGCCATATGTTGTGCAGGCCTGATTTATAGGAATAACAAAAGAAATATTTTACAAAAAGGTAAATACCAGGTACCATATTATTTAACATTGTTTTTTGAATTGGACTTAAAAGATTGGAAATAACTTTATAGTTATACATAGTTGCAGGCACCGGTAGTTGTTAAATGTTTATTTTGTCTATTTAATTTAGTATTAAATTTATATGTATCTTACGGTACCATAAACATTTTTCTCGTTCATTCAAAAGGAGAAAACAAATATTCAGTACTGGCAATATCAATGGTATTTGAAAGTAAAGTAAGGGTTTTGGTTGAAACTTCCCTTGTATTGTATGATGTATTTTATAAGTAACGCTTTGTAACTTAAATTACTTCCCTTGTATGAACAAATTAAATTATCTGTTGTGCCAGAAAGTTCCTTGTGCATATATATTTTTAAAATTAAAGGTTTTGATATTGCTATTACATTACAACATTTACTTTTGCTTCACTGTACTGGTACTAGGTGGTAAAACTCTTGAACTTGTGACTAAGAAGTTAGATCCAGGAACTCTGTTCCTTTTGCTTTCATTTACATATTTTTTGTACAGTACAGTGACACAAGGTTTTCTCATTCGTAAACATGGGTTGTAGGTCAGAAAAGCTTTGTGCTTTGATTTGGGTCGTTTCGTGGCCTTGGGGGTGGATGTGCATATTTGTTATAGCTCTTGTCATTGTATCATAGGAAAAAAAAACCACCCCCTCCTCCGCAGTGCTATACAAAACGGTAACAAATTGCTTAAACAACATAAATAATGTAGAACTTCCAACTTTTTTCTCTAAATATAGACAGATAGTATTTATTGCCAAGTGAAAAACACAGCGTTGGATGAACAACAAAAAAAAAAGTTAAGTGTGAGACTAAGATAAATATTTATTCATTAATAGCATTTTAATTTCTATTACAGTAAAGAGTAAAATGTTTTGTTATTAATATTTAAATTTTGTGAATAACAGTGGTGACAACTGACAGAGTCTGACTAAAGAGAATTAACATTGCACATTGAAGTTATTGTCTTTAAATTTAATTACACAAAATATGCAGCCAGTTGTGCCATTTTGTCCTTTGGTTTTCCTCTGCCGCGTCCTCTACCTCTTCCCCTGCCTCTCCCTCTTCCTCCTCGGGTGGCCCGAGCTCCGCCGCTCCTTCTGAGCGCAACTGCATGATGTTTCTCCATTAATGGTTTGAACACGGCATCGCAGAACACGCAGCCTGTGTGTTCAGATCTGGCTTCTGGTAAAGGACTTTTGCCTTCCTGTAAAACAAGTTTAGTTTAGCTAGTTACCAGTAAATGCTCCATTTTAATTAACCTCTTGCTTACCACAAGAATTTGATCCAATTAAACTCCAAGATTATAAAATAACCAGCTATTATCCTGCCTGCTTTTGAAGTAAACCTTCCTATCTACCTAAGCACAGGGGGATAACTAAAATATTCTGCTACACCAGTGTACAGTTAAATGGTAGTGAAAAATAATGTTATCTATTAGTACATGGCTTAGCCAGATGTTCCTGACCTCCACAACACAGGTATAGGATCTTCAATTTTTTCTGTTTTTGCACTAATTTGAATCAAATCACATGTCTTTAATATAGTTTCATCAACCAAGCTTGGTCAAAAATGAATCATCAAGATCTTGGACAGACGTGGACTCAAATGTAAGATTAGCTTTAGTTAGAAAGCCATGCCCATTATAAGATCAGCTTAATTAGAAAGCCAAGCCCATTATAAGATCAGCTTAATTAGAAAGCCAAGCCCATTATAAGATCAGCTTAAGTTAGATAGCCATGCCCATTATAAGATCAGCTTTAGTCAGATAGCCATGCCCATTATAAGATCAGCTTTAGTTAGATAGCCATGCCCATTATAAGATCAGCTTAATTAGAAAGCCATGCCCATAATAAGATCAGCTTTAGTTAAGTCAGATAAATAGTGATTTGATTCTTGAACTGTCCATTATCTTTCTGTAGATCAATTAAATTTCAAACAGAAACAAAAGTAAGACTATAACTATAGCTCTAGTTTTATTGTGAAACACACCCTGATATTTGCTGCAGCTCATGGCCTTAATAGAAGGAAAGTTAGGCGCCAACAACAACTTAATGTAGCTAACCAGTTAAAGTCAATATTGTTATCAAGGGAGTAAAGTTCTATGACAGCTGATTTTTGCCCTTGAGAAATACTTAAGCTATCTTGTGTTTACATTGTTCTAGTTTAAAAAATGTTGCCTTGGCAAGAATATTTATCTATAATCTATGTTTCGAAAATGAATGAATACATTGTAATAAAATACATGTCCATTTATTAGTTTCGGCATAAGATTCTTTTCTTATCTACCCGATTCTTTTCAGTATCATCAATATTTTTGTTAAAAATGAACACCTCATGAAGTGCTTAGTTTATTTTTCCACCCTGTTTACAAACCAATGCCTTACCTTGAATGCGACCTCTACAACATTGGCACCACAATCTTCACACGAGTCTTCTTTCACACTTACTTTGGTGGCTCCGTCAAAGAAGTGAATTACAACATTGCACCTGAAAGAATAATTGAACTGTCAAGGTAATCATTTACCAACATCCGTCTCATTTTTAAATTATAAAAGAAAATTACTTATCAGAAAAAAAAACACAAATCTTTTCAGCATTGTTGGCACGAAGGGAGACAAAAATATATCATTAATATTGGATGTGCATTTTGAGCCAAAGAAAAAAAAAAAAAAAAAAAGCAATAATACACAGCAGCAATCACCGCAAAAATACACAGCAGGAAACAACAACAATAAAAAAAAATTACTTAACAAAAAAAAAAACACAAATCGTTTCAACATTGTTGGCAAGAAGGGAGACAAAAATATATCATTAATATTGGATGAGAATTTTGAGCCAAAGAAAAAAAAAAAAAAAGGAAAGCAATAATACACAGCTGCAATCACCGCAATAATACACAGCTGGAATCACCGCAATAATACACAGCTGGAATCACTGCAATAATACACAGCTGGAATCACCGCAATAATACACAGCTGGAATCACCGCAATAATACACAGCTGGAATCACCGCAATAATACACAGCTGGAATCACCGCAATAATACACAGCTGCAATCACCGCAATAATACACAGCTGCAATCACCGCAATAATACACAGCTGGAATCACCGCAATAATACACAGCTGCAATCACCGCAATAATACACAGCTGGAATCACCGCAATAATACACAGCTGCAATCACCGCAATAATACACAGCTGCAATCACCGCAATAATACACAGCTGTAATCACCGCAATAATACACAGCTGTAATCACCGCAATAATACACAGCTGTAATCACCGCAATAATACACAGCTGTAATCACCGCAATAATACACAGCTGCAATCACCGCAATAATACACAGCTGCAATCACCGCAATAATACACAGCTGCAATCACCGCAATAATACACAGCTGGAATATCACAGATTGCTCATATCTGCTCAATTAATAACAAATCAGTTATGACAAAATGTGAAAGTATAAAATACAATATCCTTACTTGTTACATGCCATTCTCCATTTGGGTCCTGAAGTCAGATCAAGAACTAACACACCATTGTCACACTCTACACACTCTGATACACCATTCTGTCCAAAAGAATGGGAGCAAGTGGGATGTGTGCATTCATTGCATCCCATTCCTTTACGCATGTCATTAAATGGTGGGTTGTTATAACAGTATGGACATAACGGGTAGGTCTGCGAGAAGATAAAATCATGAAATGCTAATTGAGCTCTTATTTACAAATTGCATGACTAAAAAGAATATAATTTTAATTCTCCTTCAGCTAATTGGACAGTTTCAGTTAGTGCATTTAGTATTTTAACAGCAAATACATCATGGCATATAAATATTTCCAATTGCTATAGTTGATGATGGTTCAAACAAAACTGGAGCTTAAAAATCTGGGATAAAGTCAATGAAAAAAAAATGCATCCATTAAGCCAAATCTAATAATAATTTTATTAAGAATCCATCTGTAACCAACCTTTCCCTTAGCTCCAGTTGTCCACAGAACTAACTCAAACTCATCCAGAGGACATTTCAGTTCTTTGTATAGTTTGATGTTTCCATTCTGTGGCAGTGAAAATGTAGTATCACATGAACAACAGTAGAGTCGAGATGGTTTTGCTTGCACAAACTTCATGTACCTCCTGCACTTGCCACATCTGAAGAGAACATGACTAAATATAAATGTCACATGATACGACAAACAAAAACTTTCTTGTTGGTTTTCAGATTTACGTTCAACCTGAAAATGTTTGATGTCGTTGCCTTGTTCAAATTAATCATGTGGTCAGTACGGCAACTTACATAGAAAACTATTTACAAGGAGTGCAAAGTGGGCTACATGTTAAGCTTAGAAAATCTTCAAATCAGATCACGCACGAGTTTGATTAATTTACACATTGTATTATTTATGACTGACATACCGAGACAGGGGTCTCCCGCTGTCGGCCAAGGATGAAAAGGTCATTTCAAACAACTCATCCATAGCACTGATGCAGTCCACAAAATATCTGAACTTTCTGTGAAATATGTCAATGGCATGTTGCTTGACATCATGGAAGTCAGCTTTCCCTTGGGCAATAAGTGTCAGCTGTTGCTCCACCGCTGACCTCATAGTTGGTAGCACCAGGTCCACATCAATCTGTTTTCAAAAAGGAAATAAACGCCAAGAACTAGGGTTTGTCCATAAAGGACGTCCAAACAAAATATGCATTTTGTGCACCCCCTCCCCCTAGTCCGCATGTGGCTTACTCCCAACCCATCCCCACCAAAGGGTTGTGGACATCCACAGGCGTATATGGATATTTACAGTGCAAAATGCCTGGAAGCATAATAACGATTTTAAAGAGGAAAGAGTCACTAGATTTAAAATTTTAAATTAGTCTGATATGTGTCCATCAGTCTGGTATGTGTCCATCCGTTGATTACGTGCACACTGCAGGGTGGAGGGCTTGTTGATTTTGGGGATTATGCGTACTGGTGCATAGGGTGGCATAGGGCAGAAAGTATGTACATTTAATAATTCTGTTACTCTCTAAGATCTCTAATAAAGCCATTTTTTATTCTATAGTTGTTCTTAGGTCCAACATGTCTTTGGATCTTACTCTGTTTCCCAGTGTTATTGAAACTATTTTAAAAAATCAAGAACTTTGATGCAACACATTATCCTTATAACAAGGCACATTACAAGGCAGACATTAAATCAGTTCCCTCCTCCATCGCTTCCACATTATAAAATGAATACGATTATTACACCAGATGTCTATAACTAAACTTTTTCATCTTATAATGCACATAAACTCTAATTCGGCTACCCACTGACCTTCTGATATCCATGGACAAGCACAATGCCCAGGGCGGTTGGTTTCAGTTTCCTGCCGGCGATAATGTTGACATAGTTACGTTCACATATATTATTGATATGGACGGGGATACTGGCGTCGGTGCCGATGCCGTGTTTTTCCATCAGTGTGATCAGTTCACTCTCAGTCAAGTAATCCGGAGGACTTGTCTGTTTCTCTACAAGCTTCACCTAAAGAAACCATAGGGTTTGAACCAACCGGTTTAAGTATCTTTAACATGGTTCAACTTTTTCAACTGTTTTAAATGTACATGGTAATAATTTGTGCACTTAAGTTTTATTAGAGGTACCGGTATTAAATTATTTAGTTGTTGTTTGTTCTCACAGGAGTAAAACAACTGACTAGACTACAGCTATTTTTAAATGGACATTTTTTAATCTCATCCAAATTGGTCAAGGCCATTATTTTAATAAGGTTGACCACCCTCAGATGATGGGGCTGTGGTGTTCATTCAACCAGACCATAAATGCAGTTAAACACAAAGAAAATTAAACCTTCCATCTCTTAGTTAAGGTAGCAATGTGCCAGCACACTTCATTAGGTATTAAAATACGGTAATATGTAAGAATTTTACCCTAATGCAAATGAAGATTTATCAAAACCAGTGTGCACAGTGGACATTAAAAAAAAAAAAACCCAGCTTTTGATATTTAAACAGCTTTTGATATGCTAATTTAGGCGGTCACTTAGAAATTGAATGGCATCCCAATTTTTTTTTTTATGTTATTAAATTTTATCTCTGCCTTTTTTAAATGATAGGTTATTGTTGTCCTCCGGAATGTCTATTTGCAAGGTATAAAGTTAGCATGTTATAATTGCACTTACGTCGTCTACTGTCAGCTTTTCATCTTTCTTCAAAGTTGGCACCTCCTCATCCTCCCCCAGCTGCAGCCATGGCATGATGGTAGTGAAGCCAGGATCAATGAGGACTTTACCAGTGCAAGAAAACTTCTCAGAGCCAATCTCAAAGTAAATGGTGGTCTGCATGTAGGTACAGTTGGGACTTATCTGCAACATGACATGCACAGAGGGTTACAACTTTAGTCGGCTTGTTAACCATTCTCCCTTTGGCTGACCATACCAAACTACAGGCAATGGCGACAGTCATGTAAAAATATGTGTCTAATCTTAGTGTTCAAGTGCTACAACCTAATGTATGTAAATGTATCCATGCCTAGAATAAAAATTACGCACTAATATGGAACTATTAGAAAAAAATGTAACATCTATTTCACTTTTAGCTCAAAATGTCATTGTTGGTACTAAGAAAGAGAATGACACTCTATTATGAAGTCAGCATGTCCATTTAAGAAAGTACAATTTTTAGACTTACAGTGCCAATAAAATGTCTGGTAATGTAATCATAGAGTCTCCAACTGTCATGTTCCAGTTCCCCTTCGGTGGCAGATTTCATAGGTGTAATGGGTGGATGGTCACCAGCATCATGGCCTTTTCTGAACAAAAATAATCAACACAAAACCTTATCAACAAAATATAGACCCTTGTTAACTGCTAAAAATGTGACTTAAAAATTGCAATTAAAAGTAATTAAACATGCAGTTGGGATTAATTTTTAAAAATAGTTCTTAACTTTTTGACCATAGTTTTAAAATACTAAAGCACAGATATTATAGATACAAGTCAAGCTCGCTGAGCTCTTACTTGGGCTTCTCTATTCCATTCTGCAGCAACTCTGTGACATATTTTCCCCAATGAGGATGTGATGCCTGCTGTTTTAGGGTGCCCCTGTTTCAAGATCAGATTTTGAATGATAATATAGGATTTTTTAATGCAGGATTTTATATTTCTAACAAAGAAATCTTTTCTCACAACAATGTGTGACAAAAAATGTGGTGTTGTTGCAGGAAATCTAATATTTTTAAACGCTACACTTGAAAAATAATCCTCGAAAAAGTTATATTTTTTATGGATAAAAATATGTTTAATATATTTTTATGTTGACGTATAACTTATTATTATTTAAAAAAAACAACCTGTAATTATTAAATTTGAACTATCCTAATAATTGGAGAAAAAAAAACCCTGTTATTTCAAGAGCATGAATTTTTATCCCACCTCAAGTCAAAGTTTTCAGGATATGAATTGGTTTCAGTTCTAGGATAGCTAATGTATCCTTGCGTGTACAGACGTTCGGCTATTTGCATGGTATGTTGTGGACCCATACCTAAGGAGAAAATCGGAAAGTTAAAATGAAAAACAATCCACTCTTCTTGGGTCGAGCATTTATCAAGTTTTTCTAACTCTTGCCAGCAGCTTCACTATTTAGGTCAGACATTTATAGTATAGTTAAAACTATTACTTGGTTGAAGCACAAGTACTTATTAGTTTTAATAAAATATAATTACATGACCAGAAATAATCATTATTTATGTCTTATAATAACACTACAGTAAGACCTCAAAGATGGCCTTTAGATGACCTAGTTCAGTGGTTGGCAAAGCGCGGCTCGCAAGGCACATGCGGCTCTTTAGCAAGTTGAGTGCGCCTCGGTCAGTTGGTCACAAATCAATTTTGACCCAGAAAAACATGGATGGTTCTTGAAATAAATTTGGCTCTCCAATTTTTTTTTAGTCTTCCTGCTGCTGATGTTTGGCTCTTTTGACAGATGATTTTGCCGACCACCGACTTAGTTTCAAGGACTAACCTAAGCCAGAACTGGCAACTCTTAGCATCTCCACGGTGTTGAGGGCCAAGGGTTTGGGCTTCTCTCCCTTCTTTTGGATTGTTTCTATGACCCTGGTTAGATTGAAAGATTTACATGAGAAAACCATTAAGAACACAAAGACATTTAGATACAGAAGCATCTTGACCTTTAGATGCAGTAGCATCTTGACATAATAAACAGTCAATTCGCTAATTTACCCCATGTTCAGAAAAGAAAAATATGAACCTTAACTTTTTTAAAAACATTTCCTTTTTCTTATCCTTTCTCTGTATTGCCCCGAAAAAATAATTTTAATATAAAAATCTGGACACAATTTATATATAATAATATCTTTTTTTAATGAATTTCCTTAGATAGTGTATTACCTGTATTAGATGTAATTTATGTTTGCATACTACAGTATTCTGTACTTTTATGTACCAGTATGTCTACAAATACCCCCCAACATGCCATCTCAACATTATCTGTACTTTGATGTACCAGTATGTCTACAAATACCCCCCAACATGCCATCTCAACATTATCTGTACTTTGATGTACCAGTATGTCTACAAATACCCCCCAACATGCCATCTCAACATTGTCTACTTAAAAGTGATACACAAAAATGATACCATTTTGTCATTGAATAGATTGGTCATTATTATCTGACTGTAATTATCACACCATGATTTCATTAAAATGACATTAGATTCAGATGACATTGGATTCAGATGACATGAGCACCGTACTCACTGAGCTCCTTCACCTGCCTTGATTCGATTGACAAACATCTGTGCCACTTCCTTGTCAAACAGCCGCACTCTCTCCCAGTCGAGATAAAGTGACTTGCCATTGGGTAGCAAGACCTAGAATGAAAAAAAACATCTCTTGTTACTTATTGTAACAATACTTTCATGCCCAATCTCTATTTGCAAAAAAAGGCACTGGAACATTGACATTTTCAATAACTTTGTATAACATGTATTCAAGTGTTTTAGTGAAAATTTGTAAAATGTAGGCAGTTTTTTTCTCTTCAAAATTATATTAGGTCAACGTTTTATCAACTTGAAGGAATATTTATCTTTGCCTGGCATTGTCATTAAATCTATAAAAATCAAATACATTTTTAAATTCTTTCATCATGAACAGAAAAAGTGATATAATGGATCTTTAAACTAAACAGCACATCACAATATTATGCTAATACTAATAATATTCTCTTTGTGACAGTCAACACATTGTAAATACCCGGTAGTAAAAGTATTGAACAATATTTGGCATTATAACTTTGTGCCACTTATGAGATGTGTATTAGAATTGTGCACTGTATTATTATTCTTATTGCCATTAAGTCTTAACTATGACAAACCTGTACATTGATGACCCAATACGCTTCTGGTTTAAAAGACTGAATTTTATCATGACGTTCCACACAGAATCCAAGTGTTGGGGTCTGACAAGGACCGTAAGATATTAGGGTGCTGTCCAAATCCCCATATTTACCCTAGGGTGGAAGAAGATGCAGAAGTTCAAATTGTTAACAGAATAATGAATAATAAAAGTAGCCACAAGTAAATACAAGAATCTAATCTTGGACATGTTCGACATATAGGACTTGATTATTTTTAAGCCACAAGCTAATATGTAGGACTCAAATATATATAATATGTCGTAAGATGTTATGGAGGACTCAACTACTTATAATATGTCACAAGCTGTCATTTAGAATGCACTATTTATATATTATATGTCACAAGCTGTCATGTAGACTCAACTATTTAAATATAACACAAGCTAACAAGTACGATTCAACTTTTATGTCACAAGATGTCATGTAGGACCTAACCTTTTAACTTGTATAGACTAGTAGTTTTCAAACTATTCATCCCATGACACATTAAATCATGGAAACTAATAATTTATAAACTTTTCTTAAAGCATTTAACAAATGAGGACTTTTTTGGTGAGGAGCACTGTCAGAGCAAATTAGTGTAGGTCATTAATAGTATATTACCAATGAAATATTTTAACATTAAATCTCATTTTTTGTTTAGCCGGTAGAGATGTTACATTTTAATACATTTTATTCAGTACAATCAAAAAGTTATCTTGGAAAGTTCAAAAATCCAATGAGACCAGTTAAAACAAAAGATGGGCAATCAATACCTGATGAGGAGGGTCAGAAAAAAAGATGGATAGAGCATTTTGAAGAACTCCTCAATCGGCCAGCACCACAACATACACTCAACATAGAGCCAGCCGAAAAAGATCTAGAAATAGATTGCAGCACACCCACAAAGCAAGAAATATGCAGAGCAATTAAACAACTAAAGAAAGGCAAGGCGGCAGGTCCAGACAGAATACCGACAGAAGCCTTGACAGCAGATATTACGACTAGCACTGAAGTGCTACACACACTATTCAAGAAAATATGGGAGGAAGAACAGATACCAATTGAATGGAAAGAAGAACACCCCATTATGCTCCAGAAGAAAGGAGACCTTAGTTCTTGTTCTAACTATAGAGGAATAACCCTGCTTTCCATCTGTTATAGAGAGCTTGTTTACATAATATTTCTCGTGTGTGCCCTCTGATTGACCCCGCATGAGACGCTGTGTTCACAAAGGGGTGTGGCTTAGGCCTTTGAAGTATTCTTATTTACACCGCCAGCCACTAAAAATAATTAATCTGTTCCAAGTAGTGTTTTGTAGAATAAACGGGATTTTTCTCGAAATGTCATGTAGCTTGTAGTAGGCAGGGCTTAGGCGTCGGTAGATCCACCTATATAAGGGATTGACAGGCACGACGAGACGGAGATTTTTCACATAGATTTTCTTAACATTACGAGGCGTGTTTTATTCTTTGTGTATTTGTGTGCTCCTACTTATATGTGTTTATTTCGCATTATTTATTGGCATCATTATTTCTAATGGTATTAAATGTGTACCGGTACGAGATCTACCATACTGTAAGTTGAAGATTGTAATTTTATTTTATTTTTGTAATTATCTTATATTTCTAATGGTATTAAATGTGTACCGGTACGAGATCTACCATACTGTAAGTTGAAGATTGTAATTTTATTTTATTTTTGTAATTATCTTAAGAAATAATAAATCTTAATAAATTGTAACTAGAAATTGTTTTGGGTCGTATCTTTAATATTGTTGATTCTATGGTATCGTCCTTTGTTAGGCACTGTTTACATCGAGCCAAATTAAAATTAAAATAGGAGATTAATTTCTCCCAATACAAGTCAGTGCGTAACACCATCCCAAGCAAAGTATTCAACAGAGTGCTGCTAAACAGAATGAGGGAAGCAATAGACACCAATCTTAGGGACCAACAAGCAGGGTTCAGAAAAGACAGATCCTGCATTGTGGAACAATCTCTGGAGCGGAACTTGCCATTATACGTCAACTTCATTGACTATGAGAAGGCTTTTCATAGTGTCGACAGGCAGACACTGTGGAAGCTGCTTAGACACTACGGGGTACCACAAAAATTGACATACATAATTAAGGCTTCTTACGAAGGACTATTGTGCAGAATTGTCCACAGCCAACAAACAACTACGGCTTTTGGGGTACAGACCGGTGTCAGACAGGGGTGTCTTCTTTGGCCTTTCTTATTCCTGCTGACCATTGATTGGATAATGAAAATGTCTACAGAGCAGAAGAGAAATGGTATCCAGTGGAGACTATGGAAACAGCTTGATGACCTGGATTTTGCGGATGATCTGGCCCTAGTATCACACACACAGCAACAGATGCAAGAGAAAACCAATTATGTAGCACAGTACTCTGCTTGCATCGGCCTGAACATCCATAGAGGAAAAAGCAAAGGCCTTCAAATAAATACATCACGCAACACACCTATAATACTGGAAGGAACAAACCTTGAGGAGGTGGGTAGCTTTACATACCTCGGCAGCATCATTGACATACAAGGAGGGACAGACGCCGACATAAGAGTGAGAGTTGGTAAGGCAAAAGCGGCATTTAAGTTTAACCAGCTAAAAAGGTCTGGAGCTGCAGCAATTTTGCCCTCCAGACCAAGGTCAAGGTATTCAACACCACAGTGAAACCTGTCTTGCTATAAGGAGCAGAAACATGGTGAACAATGTGATGTGACGTACGTTGTCTAGAGGTCGGTCCCCTGCGCACTAGCCACAGAACAATTTTCAAGGGTCTAGAACCCCTTTATTTCTAGCTCCTACAGAGCTGACTCTTGTTCCAAGTATCAAACAAACAATGCAGAGATTCAGGTTTTTCTTATTTATTGGCTATGTGTGCCTAACAATGGAAAACTTTATAAGAAATAAACTCTGGTGTTCAGAACAAAACGTGTCCAGCAAAAAAACCTCCACGTACTCTACAAAACAAAGTTACACAAGTCTTCTTCCATCCGTAGAAAAACTCACTGCCTTCACAAGACAGAAATCATACACCATATCCACAGCACTCGCCACTCTTCACCCCTTAAAAACTCATCTCACAACTCTTATTCTCACGTGGTTCCTCCCGACACAGCACACCGGTCATACCAGACCGAGAAAAATAAAAACCCGTGGGGCACACGGGGAAAAGAAACTCACCCACGATTGGTCAAATTAACATTATAAAAGTTGACACAGAAAAACTCACGCGATCTGACCGTGACAAACAACAGCAGCTGATTCTAAAAAGCTACAGACGTTTATCAACTCATGTCTCCGAACGATTTTACTAATCCGCTGGCCCAACGTCATCACCAATGTCGAGGGTATGAGAATCACTGTTGTTATGTGTAGAGCGTTGTTATCATGTTTGATAGGGAAAAGATGTTAGTTAGAGATTTTATGTGCAGCTGTATCGTTTGTGTGAGAGTGTTGTGACGTAATTGTGTAGTGGGAAGTGACGCGTTAGTTTTTTAGTGTTGTTAGAGAGGATAGATGGCGGATATGCTACATTGACTGTTGTGAATTGAATACTGCTAAGTGTTGTGCTGAGAAATTAAGTATCAAACATAGTTTGGGAATTGCGGTTAATTAAATTAAGAGTTGTGCTGAAAGAATTCGATTGTTGCTTCGACATTAAGTATCAGCCTTGGTTTGTAAATTGTGGTTAAATAAACTTCTGTTTACAACAAACCGGTTGATGTTTGTTGCATTGGTGACTGTTGCTGTATGATGTACTGCCGAATGGAATGAAGTGAAAGACTTGGCCATACAGAAGAATCGCTTCGCGACAACCAACAAGGATCTCTGGCGGCGCACACAACAAGAACCAGTGGAAGAGTTAATCTGCCAGCGCAGATGGAGATGGATTGGCCACACCCTCAGAAATCCTGCATCAAGTATCACGAGACAAGCCCTCACTTGCAACCCCCAGGGCAAGAGAAAAAAGAGGTCAACCCAAAACAACTTGGAGAAGGGAACTGGAGGCAGACACCAAAAAGAGTGGGCACAACTGGGGACAGTTGGAGAGACTTGCCCAAGACCGGGATGCCTGGAGAGCCTTTGTTTGTGGCATATGCCCCAGATGGGATGACAGGCGATGATGATGATGATGATGAAAGAAACAAAATATATACCTGGAAAAAACGTGTCTGGTACCGAGTGAATGCACACCCTATCCGTAAATCCAATTCCTGTCTGGCATCCACAGACAATGCTTCATTCTTATTGGGTTGAACCAAGTTGTTCATGGCGTGTTTGATGTCAGTTTCTGTGATGGCACTGAACCGTGCACGGTAAATTTGCTGGTGTCAAAGCAAATTTTATTAAACTCAAGTGGGAACTATAAAAATATGCAAAGGACCCTTATTAAATGTCATGTTTGTTTTAGGTCTTTTCATTTGAGTTGAAACTTCCATTGGACTATATTTATTAATTCTTTATAATTTACTCTATTTACAATCCATCCAAACACCAGACAAATTATTAAATTAAATAAGCCATAAGTATTAATGGTTTAAGTATATATTTATACACAAAATGTTTACAACATGATAAATTGACTAATTTAAATTGTATTATTAGCTACACATTCTGGATATTTGTAAAGTTCTAATTGTACAATTCTTCAGCTAGTTGCCAATAAATACCTGTCCCGGTACACGATTCATGGCACTTCTTACACAGTCAACAACTTCAAAGCAAATGTTTTCTCCTTCTTTGTCACAATCCAACCATAAAACAAGATAGTCAACATTTGTTGCCTAAGGAAAATATGAACAATTTTTAAAAACATATTTCTAAATGTTTGATATTTATTTTATACAGTTATTAAGGTAAAGCAAGCATATTTTAGATAAAGAGTCAATATTTATCATGCTTTATTGGCTCTTATTTTAGTGACTACCTCCTTCCTTAGAAATAATGGCATATGAAGATTGGGATTGGCTTCTTTCTTGCTAATAGGAGCTGTAAATAATTCAACCTGAAGATATTGAGGTAAGAAAGAAATTTTTATAATCTGAAGTATAGATGACTTTTCTAATACAATAAAAGAAATTGTCTACAACTTTTTCTGCCGCAAAAAAATTTGGTATCTGTTTAGGAGTATGTTTTCACAAGATATTTTTCTTAAAAATGAAATTTTAAGGCGGCCATCAATGTTCCCTTTCAGCTGCGCGCAGCTATCTCACAGATGCTGCGCAGCAGTTTTGAGTATCAGCGCAGCAAATTTCCATGTAATTGTGTGTTTGTGGGCTGTAAAATTTTGCACAAAAAAAAATTGATGCTGTAAAACTTTGTACACAACTGTATGATTTTGCACACGAACCAGCAAACCTTAGAGGGAACATTGGCTGCCATTCAACGTTTATCAAATATTTTTTCATTAATAATGATCAGTAAAGAATACCAGTATTTAAAAACTTTAATTGACGTAATAAGTCAAATAAAGGGAAATTACTTACCGGGTCAACTTTATCCCAGTTATTGTATTTTCCAGGAAAATCACAGCCCATGACATGCCCACAGACAGATGTCATTTTAAAGTGAACTTGTTCACCGTTGAACTTTCCCACATAGTCATGGATAGAACAAGCTCCATTAGATCCTTTCTTTGTGGTCATGTTGCCATTGGACAGGATTTTAGCTAGTGATTGAGCCAACGATGGCTTTTCTGCCACCATTAACACCGTCTTCATTTTCAATGTTTGTTTAATGTTATTTATCACAATATCGCACTTAATAGTCTTTGCTGTGGGTAAAAAAATCATGGTTCTTAATGAGCTTGAAGTTGTGAGTGTTATAAATATAATTCTTGAGTAAATTTTTATTTTCTTAAACTCGCAGGGAGATTTAAAAAAAAAACAACTTTATAGTTCTTTGATTTTTATCTTTATATGTATGGCACACCATAATCATTATATTTTTAACTTTAATATCTGTAACTTAAACTGTAAAAGTGTAGTTAGTTGCATGGGTTTTGTCAAGAGTTGTCTCACCCTAAGCGTAGTGATGTCACTTTGGGGAATACCAACACCTGACTCTGACTTAGGTTGATAGTATAGGACGAACAGTTGGACATGCTACTATTCATTTCTATCAGTATCATTCATGTCCCATTTTCTCTGTGGAGGGAATACTTCACCCACTTTCAATACAGAAATAATAAACTTAATATTTCTGGGGAGGCAAGACCCCTTTCCAAACCCTCTCACCACTTTCAAGACAAAAATAAAAAATGAGAATTTTCTAAATTAAAAAAATAGAAATAGTAGAATAATCAGAAATAATAATAGTAATAATAGAGTATTAACATTAGTTCTCAAATTCTCGGGATATTCTAGAATTCTAGTCATGTGAATTTATATTAAATTATATTTATACAAATATATGGCTATCACTATTGGATTAACTATGAATTGAATGATTCCATATTCCTAGGCCTAGACTAGCCCTGTTGACTTGACTGTTGAGTGACCCAGGGCTAACTATGGATAGCCATGGCTATGACTATGACTATGGATAGCCAGGCCATAGCCATAGCCAAGTCCACGTCAAATCAAAATATTAAAATAATTGTTTGGTCTTGGTGTTATATGTTATAAGCATGGAGTTATAGTTGTAGCCCTCTCCCTGTAAATAGCTAAATTGATTTACAATAAAAACATTATTCATTGAAACTATATTTTTCTTTGAATTTGAGCAATGAGTATGAATGAGCAATGAAATTATGAATGAATTCGATCATTCGGAATTTCGAAACAATTTTCAATATGAATAAAAAAGAATTATAATTGTTTTTCGCCTACACTTGGTTTTGTTAGTAGTTTTATAACGGATATATGGCTTATTCAATGTGTGTCTATGTTCCTTAAAACAATAAAAGAAAAACCAAGGAAGCTATGATTACCATAAAGTAGAGATATGCCTACTTGTTGTTCCTGCCGCTAACAGGAAATGAACCTTTAGTGTCAACAAACCAAACAATGAAGCATGTTCAACATTTTGTTTTAAAGTATTATTTTAATAAATACATAAATGCCATTTTACGTACCTCTACTTAAAATATTATAAAAAATAAGCATCAATGAAAATTATAATAATTTATACTGATTACTGAGAATTAAATATATTTGTAGCTTTATATTTTATGTTAAATTTTAAATAACAAAAGCAAATCCAAATTGGCAAGTCCTTCGTTTTTACTTCTGCTCATACTCATACGGGGAGTTGTGTACTGTACTCTTATTCTTATTTTTTTTTTTGGGGGGGGGGGGATTGGGGGAGTGACGCTCATTACATTGCCAGCGTGTTTAATTACACCCTTTAAAAAGTTTATCATGAGTTTAATAATTATTTTTGTTTTTGCATGTTTAGGTTAATGTCAATTCGGTAAATCCCTTAACCAGTTGTGTAAGGGTAAAGGGGGTGGGGGTGCCGTCCAGGGTGGCAACTTTTTTCATCATATTATTCCCCTCCAGACTTCCCCATTGACCCCTTCCGAGTCTGGCTAATCTGGTGACATTCTGTTCTGGTGGCAACCTGCTCTAGCATTTAACTAAAATCGATTATTAAACCGCCTCCAACTAACTGTTTCCATGTTGATATAAACCCCTATGAGGGTGGTATGCGGTGAGAGTGACAATTCTTTTGCCGCCCTCTTGGATACTACTTCTTAGCTAAGTGCTATTTTAAAAAGTTTATTCTGCATTTTTTCTGTTGTCTATTCGCTGACGAAGGCTTCCTGTCGAAACGTTCGTTCCCTTTTTCAGGTTTGACCTTACTTTGTTTTACTCATTTCCTAGTAAACAGATGTAAGAGCAGTAGCGTCACTGGGGGTGCGGACCACACCGGATGCCACTGATCCTTCCTCCAACCCCCCCCCCCCCAATGTAGACGCCCCTGGAACAAGGTTTGACCTTACTTTTTTTTACTCATTTCCTAGTAAACAGATGTAAGGGCAGTAGCGTCACTGGGGGTGCGGACCACCCCGGATGCCACTGATCCTTCCTCCAACCCCCCCCCCCCAATGTAGACGCCCCTGGAACAGGCTACATCTGATATCCAGACATACATTCATACATAAATGACACACCTAAAAGAAATAACAACCCAAATTGACAGCAGGTCTGACAGGAGAGCTCTATACCAACATAGAACTTCAACTTTGACAAATTGAAACAGTATTATGTATATTTGATTTCAGGGTAAAATTGCAGTTCAGGTGCGTAGATTATTTATGATCGAATTTCATATTTTGAGCTCCTCCTCCTCCACCAGATGACCCAGAGTCATCCCCCGGGGAAGCTACACAAGCTGCCCCTGAGTCAACGGAAGGTCCCTCGGGGGAGGGGGGGTGAATTTAATTATTTATTATTATTTGAGGGGCCTGACCCTTTCAAATAAAATTATATTGATAAACTATACCTTCCACTCGATACCATCTCTTTGTTGTCTATATTTATAATGTTGTCTTTACGCGACTTGAGAACCACTCATTAGAAAATTGAGAATCACTCCTTTTAAAATACATAATGAGAATACTAATAGAACATCGAGAACCACTTGATAAAAAGACAATTAAAACCGTCGTACAACAACGCGAAATAATTAAAATCATCGTACAACATAAGGGAAATTATTAATTAAAATCCACCATGACCCTCCAAAAAAAAACCCTCCAAAACCGCGCCTATTCCGACATACTATTTACTATACTACTCACTACACATCAGTTGTACTGGCACTACACATCTGCTGTGTATGGGCTAGGAGTTTATGAGGTAGATTTTTTAATCTGACATTGTTTTTCTGTGGCTACATGAAATGGATCTACTCCAAGACAACGTGTTCCCCCACTCCAAGACAACGTGTTCCCCAACTATTTGTTGCCCCACGATACACCTAGAGCAAATCTTTGTGATCTATATTAGTTTCAATGGTGTAGCCCTTGCCTTGTAGGATAATACTTCAAATGTGTGTAATCCATATTTGTTTGAAATAAATAACAAACAAATAACAGTGGCTAACCTTTGAGTTTAAAAACTGTTCTACCTAACACTGCCCACTTCAATTTAAAAAAAAAAATGTTTATACCTTTCCTATTTTAGTGACTTAATGTCATCCCCCCCCCCCCCAGCCGGGAGTTACACCTCGTGGAGGGGTACACTGGAGTAGAGCAAGTACAAAATAACCGTCATCTTCGCAAAGGTTTTTTGGTTATTTATAATTGTACTGTATACAGATTAAACGCGTCTATTCATCCGGTACTCAGAAACGGTAAGGGGGGGGGGGGCAGAGTGGAACCGAGGGTGTGGCAAGACGCGGCCGGCATGTACCGTGGGCGACACTATAACAAAAGAGGAGGGAGCACAATCATCAAGCCAGACAAAAGTGTTTGCAACTTTAAATCGTTTTAGCTAAACGTTAGTTTACAATTAGTATTGAGGAAGCTTTAATGTTTCATACTAATCTGCCTACTCTTCTGTCCTTGAAAAAACCAACATCATTTTATATCTTCTCGTGAAACTCGAACACACACATTCTTAGACAAAAGAACAAGTGGAAGGCAGAAATGAGAAAAAATATTGCTTCATTTATTTCATTGTGGTCATACATGAATGAATAAATAGGATACTCAGCCATTAATGGATGCAGATGACTTGTTTACAATTGTTTCAACTGGAATGTATACAGACTCTATGGTCAGGGATATGCCTGGTAACTTACATGGGATAAATAAGTGTAAACTAATAGTGATACAATATTGCTAGCTAAACTTTCTTCAATGCCTAAAATAATGTTGATTTCTCCCCATTAATTTCAAGACATAAATCTTTTCCAATTATTCATAGCTGAATCTTTATTTCTGAAGGAAACAAATCAGCATTTCTAATTTAATTAAAATAAAAACGTATCTGGAAAAAAACATAACTTGCGAATAAATGTCACCATAAAAGCTGTTATCACAATCAACAGATTTAGACAATTTTCAAAAAAACATTTTAATCAATATTGAATGCAGAAGTGGGAACAAGAATTTTAAGAGACAGTAATAATTTTAAAAAAATGCTCTAAACCAGCCTAACTCAACTCCTTTTTTTGGGCACTCAAACATTTTTTTAAACCTCCAGTGGCCTCCCTCCAGATTATTAATTAATTCCCCCCCCCCCTATATATATATATATATATATATATATATATAAGTACTAATTTCAAAGTTTTTGTGGCCCCAAAGAAATAATCTCTGACCCTCTGGTAGTATGGTAGGCCATATGGTCCACACTGAGATAATCTCTAAACCTCTGGTAGTATGGTAGGCCATATGGTCCACACTGAGATAATCTCTAACCCTCTGGTAGTATGGTAGGCCATATGGTCCACACTGAGATAATCTCTTAATCTCTGGTAGTATGGTAGGCCATATGGTCCACACTGAGATAATCTCTAAACCTCTTGTAGTATGGTAGGCCCTATGTACCATACTGAGCAACACTGCTCTAAACTAAATAAGGCCCATTGGAAGTAACACATTCTCAAAATGACACATTGTCTTTTTGATAAATTTAATATTTTTAGATTTTAAACAATTAGTAACACATTTTAAAACTAAATAGAAACATAGCAAGATTATAAGTACAAAATTGAAGATGCACTCTGTTATTTAAGTTTTCCCCCAAAAGATTTCATTAAGATAAGAGTTTGAAAACACAAAATAATCTCGAATAATCTTGGTCAGACTGACTACATTTGAGTTTATGAGGTAGATTTTTAATCTGACAAATTTTTAATCTACAATAGTTTTGGAAAATAAGTTAATACAATGAATAAATATTTGCTAATTTAAATAATATACCGGTACTGTTTTCTTTATAAATGTACATTGTTAAACACCAATAGCATGAGTAA